TTTAACTTTCTCTTTATATTAATCACGGCGGCCATTTTCCCCATTTTACCATTTGGCAGAGACGTCATGGGACGCTCCCCAATACGGTGACTGTGAGGCCCCCACTACTGTCCCTACTATGATCGTACTAGGACCCTTATAATTGGCATGGTTATAAACTTTATTGGATTCCTAACTCGAGTTTATGACACTGCTCCGAGCTACCTGAAGGTTGCCCATCCCTGCTCATAATAGTCATATAGGAAATGTCATGTTTTTTTAAGAATCGCGAGCTACGTACTGGATAAAATAATAAAAAAAATTAACAATTACTTTATCGCATCCGAATGATTTCCACCTTTCTTCTAGAATGATCTGTTTGAAGTCGGTATGATTCCGTACCCTTCTAGTGAGCATAGTGCATTTGAATATGGTTCAATGTCTGAGATCATGATAAGAATATTCCTTTTTTACGGGCAGAAAAACATTTCAAATCGCATACGCCTTGATAAAATGTCCTCCTCTACTTCATGCAAAAACCTGAAAACGATATTTCGGGAGGTCCTCATATTACACTCATTACAAATATAAATCTGTCCTCATAACAGGCATATTGTAAAATATGTCTTTTCATAACATTCATATCGTAGTCCTCATAGTGATCGCTACGTATCAACTCGACGAAATAAACGATTACTTGGAAGTTTCGATACGGGTATAGCTGTTATTGATTTTTTTGGATAAATCCCTGAATTCAACGGTACATGCCAGTCCCCATAATATACGTATTATCGGTATGCAGTCCTCATAACAGCCATAACATTACTGAAGTTTCAAGACTTCAAATTCATCGTTACATGAATTATCAATGTGTATATTTTCAATATAGGTCCTCATAGTAGCCGTGCAATGGACTTTGGTACGTGTTCCCATAGTATACAATATATGACTGGTCTTGAATTATACTATTTACCGTATTCTTGGTCGACAGCAGTGAAAAACAAAAAAAAATACGGATATTATTTTCATATGGTATATAATTAATTTTTTCATAGATTTGGATAGGTTACGTTTCGAGGCTTCAAAGTAATCGATGCAAATACTTATTGACTTGACTTATTGACTATAGACGGTCCTCGGGAGGAGGAGTGCACAATTAGACTTGCGGCCATTTTGCGCTCTGCCTGGGGCAGCCGTCTAGTCGAGAGGTGTCAGCATCTGTGCCCCACGTGCGAATTCGTAGAGTCCCTGGAAGCCGTCCCTGTCGACGTAAAGATCTTTAAGACAGGTGGTCTCAAAGATATCCAAACGGAGTTCATCAAGACCACTGCATTTTGTACTGAGATGGTGGCGGTCCTCCTCCACCAAGCCGCATCTCGGGCAAAGAGGATCATCTCCCTTGCCGATTCTCGCCAGGTAGGCAGCTAACGGCCAGTGTCCCGTATTAAGCCCTAAAAGGGCTCGCAGCTTAACCCTGCTCAAGGACACGAGTTCGTCAGTCAACTTCCTGGAGGGTTCGCGGAGGAGGGATCTGGTGTGTCTGGCGCCCATCCCTGCGTTCCATCTCTCCACCACTCCCCTGTCCGCGCGCTTTTGGATTATTTCCTTTATGTAGTCCGAATGAATGCCAACGTGGTCTTCATCCACCGGCGCCATTGTCTGACATCCTTGTTTGGCCAGCATATCGGCTTTTTCATTGCCAAGTATGCCGGCGTGGCCTGGTATCCAGGACACCTTTAATTTGTTGCAGGTTGCAACTTTGTCCATCAACTCTATGCAGTCGTTTACCAACCTGGAGCCACTCTCGTGTTTCAGCAGGGCTCCCAGTGCCCGCCTGCTGTCCGAGTAGATGTGTATTACCTTGCCCTTGTCCTGTCTGGCCAGTATGATTCTGGCGCAGGCTCTTAGGGCAGCTAATTCCGTTTGAAGCGGGGTGGCGTGTGGGTCCAGTCCAAGGGCCTTCTCAGCGGAGGGTCGACTGGACCACACTCCTGCTCCCGCTCGGCCGCACCTCTTGGAGCCGTCCGTGTACCAGACCAGCCCGTGAGGTGGCGACCATTTACAGCCTGCCCAGGCCTGTGTGTTCACAGTGCCTAGGTTGATTTTGAATCTCTTGTGAGGGTGCCATTCAGTTCTGCATGCGTCTCCCCCTTTGGACACCGCGCCATGGAGCACCCTGTCCTCCGTAAGGAGCGAAGCATGTCCCTTCTTGGCTTCCCTCCAGGTGCCAGTTAGTTTCAGCCTGGCTGCTGTTGACAGCGCCACATCTCTTATGATGAGGTGTGGCGGCTGCATGAAGAGTAGCGCCTCCAATGCCGAGGTGGGAGTCGTTCTAAGCGCCCCCGTAATTCCCAGCAGAGCAAGCCTCCCCAGTCTGTCCACCGTTTTCCTGTGGCAGGCCTTGTTCATGGCCGGCCACCAGGCAACAGCTGCATATGTTAGTTGTGGGAGCATGATGGCCGTATAGATCCATCTCACGACCTTGGGTCTTAGCCCCCACGTGATTCCAAACATCCTTCTGCAGGCCCAGTATGTTCCTATGACTTTGCTGGTTTGCATGTTGATGTGCTTTTTCCAGCTGAGTCTTCTGTCGATCCATAGACCCAGGTACTTTACGTCCTCTAAGAAGCTCAGTACTGTGTTATAGATAGAGGGGGGTTTGACCACCAATTTCCTCTTGTCAGTGTAGAGCACCATCTCGGTCTTTCCGGGGTTAACCTTGAGGTCATTTGATGTGCACCATCGCTGCACATGGTCTAGTGCCTTTTGCATTTTAAAAGATAGCGTGCCGCCATCCTTACTGGACACAAGCAGCGCTACGTCGTCTGCATAGCCTACCGCCTCCACCCCTAGCTCTTCTAGCCCAGCCAGGAGCCCCTTCACAACGAGGAGCCACAACAGGGGAGAGATAACCCCCCCCCCCCCCCCTGCGGGCAGCCCCTTCCCGCGAGCGCCCTGACCGTGCTGTCGCCCAGGGAGGAGGAGACCGCTCTTGTTCGGAGCACAGCAGCTATCCATTTAATGATGGGCCGTTCGATGCCGAACGATGCTGCTGCTTTCTCTATGGTGCCGAGGAAAGTGTTGTCAAAAGCCCCCTCGATGTCAATAAAGACACCTAGCGTGGCCTCCTTTCTTGCTTTGGCACCTTCGATCTTGCCCACCAGGCGGTGCAGGGCAGTCTCCGTTGACCTGCCGACCTGGTATGCGTGCTGAGAGAGACTGATCGGATTGGTCCTCAGAGCTCCCATTTTGATGTGCCTGTCAACGAGCCTCTCCAGTGTTTTCAGGAGGAAAGAGCTCAGACTGATAGGCCTGAAGGATTTAGCGTTGTCATAGCTGCACTTGCCCGGTTTGGGGATAAAAACAACCCTGACCTCCCGCCATTTATAGGGCACATGCCCAAGAGCAAGGCTTGCTCTTAGTGTTGGCAGGAGCCTGTGCAGGAGCTGCGGACCTCCCTTCTGCAGGAGCGCCGGATATATCCCGTCGGGACCTGGGCTCTTATACATGTCGAAGGAGTCCACAGTCCACCTCAGGCCCTCCATCGTAATTATTTCCGAGGCTAGGCGCCAGTATGGGCCACCCCTCTCTGTTTGCTCTAGAACCGTCCCCGTGCACGAATCCCCCCTCTGTAAGTTGGAATCCGGGAAGTGCACTTGGATCAGGTGTTCCAGGATGTCGCTGGGCTGTGTGATGATCTCCCCGTAGGGGAGTATGATCTCTCGTAGCCCTTGCGTTGGTCCCCCTGAAAAGACCCTGCGAAGCCTGGCTACCTGTGGTAGGGCCTCCAGGTCATCACAGAATTCCTTCCAGGCGGTTTCCTTTGATTTTTTGATGAGCCTTTTGTACTCCCTCTGCACATTTCTGTACTGAGTCCAGTCCTCATGGCTCTTTGTTCTGTAGGCATGGTTCCAGAGTCTCCTGGACAGCACTCTCAGTCTGTTCAGTTCGCGGCTCCACCATGCCACTTTTTTCCCCTGCCTGCTCGCCTTTATCGGGCATGCCTTATGGAAGGCGCCGATCAGGGCGTCGTGGATTGTGTCCACTTCATCCTCTAATCTGCGCACATTGCTGGGCCTCAACCGCCGTTCCCCCAACCTTGCCTCCAGCTCCTCTTTAAAAGAGGCCCAGTCGGTAGTCCTGGGGTTCCTGCGTGCTGGACCCTGCACCGTCCCGACTCTGCCTTCAATGCTGAATTCAAGCATTGAAGGCAGATGCAAATACATATATATATATAAATTATATTAATTTTATATATATTCATTTTTATTTTTATATTATATTATACTAAATTTATTAAATTTTAAATTATTTTTTATATAAATTTTTAGACTTTTTTCTTTCTTCTTTTTGAAATTCTATATGTGTATATATTATATTGGAAATAACCGTGAATATATATATATATATTCCAATGATAACACCCCATACGTTGACGATTTGGCGCGCATGGCGCGCCATATACACTAGTGTCCTGTAATTTCTTAATTAATTGAGCGGTCAACCATTTGTGTTCGTCTAGGGCAGGGCCCGGCAACCTTCAGGTAGTCGGGAGCCAGCCTATTACAAGGGTCGGGATAATCCTCGCATCCTAATGGGTACCCAATTAGCCAACCATTGTGTGCGAGTAAGTCCCAGTGGTGACGATATTTTTGTCAGCCACGTAGAGTGACGTGCGAGTCGAATAAAAATGGCCGACTCACCAGAATTCGTGCTAAATTTCAGTTTTAAATTTTAAATATAAAATTGAAAAAGTAAAATTTAGGAAAACCTTGGAGAATATATTTCCGCAATGGTAGTCGGCAATTATTATTGTTCTTTCAAATAATAATATTGGAACTCTAAATTTGAAAAATGAAAAGTCACCATTGTCGACTTTGGAATATATCCCTGGAAATTCCATTGTCGATTTTCATATTACATTTTGATTTTTGCTCATTTTGCCACGTCAAAATGAAAAATGAAATTTTTTATTCATAGCATGAGAAGATCAATTTTCTCATTATTTCTTCGGTGAATCGTACCTTCTAATCTTTAACTTCGATAGAAGGACAGCATCTGGGACTATAAATTTGACGAAAATAATTACAAATTTGAAAGACCCACATTTGAATATATTTTTAATTAATTGTCTACTCTTGGCCAACATTATGGAATGTTGCTCAATGGAAACCGCGGGAAGGTGGCAGACGTCTTCCATCATGGGTAATGGGAAGGAACAAAAGGTGCAGGAAATAGGAAAAAATTTAATCCTAATAAATCTTATTACTAATACATTTACAATAGTTTCATAGCAACAATCGTACGAATGCCAGATTCTTGGAGAATCTCCCATTAATCCGATGCTGCTCAGAGTTGTCAAATTATATTAAATCTGTAATTGTCAATATCTAGCGACAAGGTTATAATGAAAAGTGTAAATGATTTAATTTTAATGCGAGGGTTGAATTTGCATGGATTCCACGATTTTTTCTAAATGAGGTGTATAATTACTGAGACTCACAAGCATGGCTTCTCTGAGGTTCTCATCTCCTAATGCCGACCTACCGGAGGTTTTAATGCGATTCATATGAGAAAAACCTGATTCGCAAAGATATGTTGCTCCGAACATCACACGCATCCGTTTGTACGATTCTGCGAGAATTGGAAAATGATTACCTTCGATTATTGTCTTCCACAAATCATCTGAACTGCACGAAGGTAAATCGAATGTAATAAATATTGGGAAATCGCTGATTTAAATCGTCGTATAATTGCTGCGCCAATTCTGCGAAAGGCTCGCCATTGAATGCTGTGTTGCTGGATCCCTTTACTACTGATTCTAACACAGTAAACATAGAACTAGATTTTTGAAAAAATTAGATTGGATTCTTTTGATGAATGTTCTCAACGCGGTCACTGCCTGCACGTAATCCCACAAAAATTTCCCGTTTCCCTGCCTTCGAAGATTAATATTGTTCATGAGTTTAGTGAGATCAACAAGATATGCTAGTTGTGTAAGCCACTCGAAATCATCCAGTTCAGTATATTCGCGATCAAATTCCTCTTTCATAAAACTGATAATTGCTGGCAAATTTTCATAAAATCGTTCCAGCATGACCCCTTTACTTAACCACCTAACTTCTGTATAGTAAACTAAATTTCGCGCATCTAATTCATTGGCTTTTTTGAACTCTTCATAAAGTCGCTTGGCCAGCGGTTTCGCTAGAATCGAGTTCACAATTTTGACGACTAAATTGAAAACCTTGTCGATAGATGTTTTTTTCGTGCAGAGAGCCAATCTATGTAACATGCAATGGATAGATGTAAACGGCGGAAAATCCGAATCGTTACCGCATCGAGTGAGAAAACCTTTCAACTTTCCGGTCATATTTGCAGCCCCGTCCGTTGCAATGCAAACTAATTTATTTAGCGGTACTTTCGCCAGAATGAGTTCATCTTTGAATGCTCTAAAAATCTCTTCTCCCGACGCTTGTTTTCTTATAGAAAAAAGTGTCAGCATTTCTTCTATTACAGTCATATCCGGTAACGAAAAACGAACGAAAACTAGTACTTAAGCATGTCCGGCGGTATCGGTTGATTCATCTGATTGGAATGAAAAATGATGACATTGAGAAATGTCATCAAGCAATTGTTCCCGAAGATTGGAATCGATAGATTGTACCCTACGTGCAATCGTTCTCAATGATAACGAAACTTCGCGGACAAACTTATTAACGCGATCTTCAACTTGTGTTTTTCCAAATAAAATACCGCTAACATCGGTTAAAATCTCTTTAAAATCATCGTCATCGGAAAACGGCCTCTTGTGCTTGATTAAACGATACGCGGCGACAAGAGAAATGTGTGCACTAGCCGTTGCATCATCATTTATTAATGGTTTATCAAGAACGGTGATTTGAAGCTGGCTTTTGAATAATAGAATTTGATTGCTGCAGACCTCGGTATAAATCGGATATTCCCCCCCACGGATAGGGGGATGATTGTGGGTATCGATATGCATTGTTAACAACGGGCAAACGACGGCGATTTCGGGAACGGACTTTATCCAACTCTTAAATTCTTCGGGGTGGGTTTTTAATTGATCTTCTAGGACGATGGCTAGCTGGGCCAGGCCATACGGGGGAGGATTGGATAAGTTAAGGGGTTGTCGTAGGGGGCCTTCACCGTCTGAGGTATACCATATGCGAATGGGTTGTGCAGTGAGCTCGAGGAGGTGGTTATCGGGGGTTTGAGTTTCTCCACAATCGAGGGTAAACTCTAAAGCTTTGAAGGGCGTCCTTTCCGAGAATGCAATCGAAGGCGAGGGCATTCGACAGTGGAAAAGGGATGAGTTGAACCCGGTCGGAGGAGGCTAGTCTCATAATTGCGCATTCGGCTAGTGGGACTGTTTCTCCGTTTCCGAGGACGACTTTGGTTGCGATGGCGTATTTGTCAAGATCTACTCCAGTCTGGGTGTTGATAAACGATCGGTTTGCCCCTGAATCGATCAAGGTGCGGAGCGAGTATTTTCCCATTTTTATGTCGATAAATCTGCGGTTTGCTAGGGGTTGGTGTTAGGTAAGGGAAAGGAAGTCTTCATAATCGATGTAATTCGGGTTGGTTGGGTCATTTAAGGTAATGGTAAACAACTTGGGGTTCTCGTCAAGGAAGGGGTCAGTCCCGGGGGAAGAAGAGACAAGGGTTTCAGGGATAGTTGGGGGTAGTTCGGTAGGGATGAGATCTGTTGAGAGTGTTTCTTGTATAGGGGAAATATCCTGGAGGGCACTGGGTGAGGGGGCTGGGGAAATACTTCGGTGTGGGGTCGGTGGTGATACGGGAGGAAGTGAATTCGTGACAGAAGGAAATTCAGGGGTGGGAGGAGATACGCTTGCCCAGGATGGTTGGGGGGAGATGTACGGGAAGCAGGCTCAGGACAGGGCAAGTTTTTGGGTTCGGGTGTGGGTCGTGCGGGGGTTCTCTTAGGGACTGGTTGGTTGCGATAATTCGGGCGTATTATCAATTGATGATCCCGCCGGGGTGGTGTGGATTTAACACCCCCGCTCCTTAGTTTCCCTGGTCGTGGTATGTTCCATAACGGGTTGGACCGTGGATTGAGACGGGGAGAGGTTCGTCCGGTTACTTCAGTGTACGTGTGTTGCCTTGGGGGTAAATTGGGCATCAAATGATTGTTCATCCGTCTGGGGAATGCGTTACGTCGGGGTTGATATGTGTCATCTGGGGGAAAGAGATAAGTATTTCTGGAATATTGTTCTGGGGGGACGTTATCGGCACAAAGGGGTTGGGCGCCGAGGGCATGATTCTAGAGAAAATCGGTATCGGAAGGGGTACGATTCCTGGGGTTGTTCCGACGGGGGGCAGGTGAAGGGGTATGGGTCGCCGAGGGATGTCTATTCCGAGACGTATCTGATAGGGTTCTCTGGACTAACCTGGTGACCTCGATAAATTGCTCAATGGTGGTGCACTTATCACGACCCATTTCTTTAAAATTTACTGGATTCAATTGTGATTTAAGGATACATAATTGTCTCTGCAAAGGGGGAGGGGGATGAAAGCTCGAAAACAGTCTCCGGAGACTCATGATATAATCTCCTATGTCTTCGTCAACGCCCTGAATTCTCTGATCAATGTCCGGCCATATACTTTCCTCTTGATCGAGGGGGCAGTACATCAGCTGGAAAGCTCGCAAATAGTCATCATAACTCCTGATATTTAGCAACTCGGTCAAATACCAGGAGTGGGCGTTATTTTTAAAGGCTGAGGGAAGAGCCCGAAGTGTCTCCGCCTCAGTTAACCCATTTGATTTATAACAAAAGGTGACGCTGTCTAAAAATTTGTAGGGATCTTCATCGCGAGTTCTCGAGAAGCGACTTCCACCCCTTTTAAACAGATTGCTGACCCTTAAATCTCGCTTTTGAAGGTCGTATTGCGTTTCCTCTCGAAACGGGGCACGATAAGTATCTTGTAGACGGGTCTGGTGAAATCTGGTATGGCGGTAGTTTGTGTGGGGGGCTGTGGGGTTGGATTTCCGGGGAAGAGGGTCTGGCACAATGTTGATTGGGGAACACGAGGGGTTGGTTCAGGTTGGGGAGGAAGGGTTTGGTGACTTGGTATCGGGTGTGGGAGGGAATCTGTGTAGTAAGGAATCGGGGTTGTTCCACTTGGTAGGTGGAGTGGGCGGCGGGAAGGGGGGATTGATTGTGATGATGAGTTTTGGGGGGGGGTGGGACAGGGTCGTGGTAACTGGTGCGGGGATAGGGGTAAGTGGTTCGGCGGAATAGTAATTGCCAGGGTGAACGGGTCGAATTTGGGCAGGGGGTGGTCTAGGATAGTGAACTATGGGGTTGGTGGTAGGAGGCGTGGGGCCAGGGCTTGAGGTGATGTTGTCATGAGGGGGTGCTTAGAAGGTGACTCGGCGGGTAGGAGGTGGTTGTTGTAGGGAGGACACTCCTGAGGGTTCAATGGTTGATTGTTCAAAGCTGATCGGATCCTGATACGCTCCGAATGTTTGTCCTGTTCGGAGAGTGCCGGACGGCCGTAGTGAAAATGAGCCATCGGACTCGGGGACAACGCGAAAACCGACGGTCGTACACTGTATCCCCATTGAATCTATCTCGTCATCCCAAGGAGTCGCACGATCTCCAAATTCTTGCCGAATTTCATGTCGGACGAATCGGTCTTTTAATACGTCGTAAGTACCGCAACTCTCAATACCGAGCGTGTCTAGTAGGATGAGCTGATCGCGGGGGGTAAGCGAATCGAATTGTCACTCCAGATCACGGTGATACTGGGCGATAAGAGCCGGTAACGGGTTCGGCGGTGAAGGGGGGTGAATACTGGGACTGGTGATAAGGGAGGCAGTAGCGGTAATAGCGGTAGTTGTGGTGGTGGTGGTCAGGTGGGTAGCAGCGGTATCGGGGCAGGACGGGGGAGGATCAAAGAAAATCAGATTGGGCTCCATATTTATTTTATTCTATGGGGATTTACCGAAAAAGAAAGAGAATTGGATCAGAATCGTGCGCGCCGGGCAGCACAAATAATAATAATAATAGTACGAGAAGAGAAAAAAAAAACCAACAACGAATTCGCGGCGAGAAGGCACCTTAGAACGCTCAAATATGCGCAGCGCACAAGAAAAAAACTCATCAACAATGATAATCCAAGCAAAATATTGTGAACAATGGGCAGATAAAATTTCAACTAAATTAGATATTAAATAACCAGTCAGGGGGGCAGGGCCAATCGGGTCGAGGGGAAATCGCGACCTGCGAAGGGAATGTATTGGGGAAAACTGAGGGTAACAAAAAAAAGTAAATTGAATATCAAAAGTGATAAAGGGAGATGAATTGAAAATAAATTTCAGTATAAAATCAGTGTTTTGATTCCCTTAATCCCCTCCGGCATGCGGTGGGTTTATCCGCACCGGTGAGCCTCTGAAAAAAAAAATAAACAACTCGCGTGTGCCGTATACAGCAGCTGGCGTCGGGCGCCAATTGTGAGTTTGGCCGGAAAATTGTGATAGATTAATCGATGGCGAAGGCACGATATTAAGGAATAATATTCTAAAAGAAGTTTAGGGAAACGTACTGTGTAACGTGACATTTTCTCGGGAGACAGAAAAATGGCCATTACCTGCGCCCTACTTCCCCTAAGCCTAATTAAACCTGCTAAAATTTAACCAAATGGGCGCCAGGTAATCTTTAACCGGAATTACCAAACCGGAAAATTCTGTAAACCTAAACTTAACTAACCTCGAAATTCATTGTATCGAAAATCGTACCTCACCCTCCTAAAGCTCTAACTCAAAAATATACTCTAAAATCAAATAGGAAACCTGAAGGGAACGGAAAGGATAATTAGGCTTTTGGGCAAAGGTGACGGTTCTGGGGTCGCTCAGTATGCCAGTTGTGGAGAGAGGGGTGGATCGTAGATGGGGGCCAGGTTACTGCAAAAATCGGGAAAAATACCAAAAAAAAAAGGTAACGGGAGGCGAGAAATAAATTACTGCAACCAAACATTGTCCTTACGTGTTCCGCTTTCCATATCAAAATTCGGTACAATAATAATAAATGATAAACAATTGTATTATACCAATCAGCTTCCGAATCGTATTAGCCATTTTTAACTTCCTCTAAATATTACGTTCCAGCCAAAAATCTCCAAATCCAAATTTAATTCTCCTTCTCAATTATCGCGAAATAGGGATTTTCTAACAAAAATCCAAATAAAACTTCAACTGCCTCCTTAAATCGACGCGAACATAAATTATTTAACAAATACCGAATATATCGCTGAACATCCCACACTAATATCCAATAATCTCATCGGAATGCGGCCTCAAGGATTATCGATTGGCGATAATCCGAGGAATAACCGAAATATTACTGGCGCTCGGGAAATCGATAATTTCCCGGAATCGGACCCTCAACGAGTGAGCGCGAGCGAAAGAGAGAGAGAGACGGCACTACGCCTCGCTGCTCGGTTAGCAGCGAGGAGAAATCCCAAAAAAACATCTAACTTTACTGAAAATTCGATAACGCAGAATCCGCTCGGCGGATTCCGGAAAACCCTTGACCATCTGGTCCGGGATACCTTTCCCCACACTCCCACGAAAATTCAGGCGTAAGGGCCCATAATTAACCACGTTTACGCAATTAATAGCCACGATGAAATTTTAATACGCGATTTCCCACCTGTTGCACACAGCCACTCGCTGGCGGCCTCGATTGCGCCACGAGGGAGAACCACTGGCCTTGTTCGTTGGCGGTGGACTATTTCATTCAAAATCCGCATAAATTACCCCCCCAAATTCCCATAATTTACATCAATGACCTCCCAACCGCACTGGGGGATAATACAGGCCGAAATTATTCGGAAAAATCCCTCCACAGACCTCTCCAAAACCACCCAAAACTTGGGGGACACAACCGACGCCATTTCCATGGCTCGGAAAAATCTCTGACCACCAATAACTTATTGGGGAGCCGTCAAAAAGGGGAAAAATCTTTAATTAAGGCGGTAAAAACTCACTGTGGATTTTCTTGCTGCCCTTCTCTTTCGTTTCAGGATCATGATGGTGGCAGCTAATTGTCCTGGTGTCCTCGGGATGGTGCACTATCACGTCTCACTGCTCACTCCTGTTCACTCACGTGTGGATGTTACCGCGGTTAATGCGTAACTGATTTTCGGAGGTCAGTGTCGCGTTGCGCTGACCCCCTAATCACGCCTACCAATCGATCGGGTGTCGATTGGTGGATCCCTCTACCTTATTCTTGGTCAAGCCCTTCGCGGGAGAATTAATTCAAATTTGAATTAATACTCATTACCAGAAATTCTTCTTTCCGCGGTATTTTTCTCTCGGTTGTTCCTCCTGGATTCCTGGGGTTAGAAGACCTAAATCACTAACCTTAAACGTATTAAATTATTTCACTAACCCGTAATTTTATTTATTTATTGGCCCTCCGCCGCGATAAGGGCTGGATTTACCCCGTGCGGCCTTCCACCGACACTTAATTTTAAAATTGTTGGTACTCCGTCGGGACGATGATTAATTCTATCCCAGACGGCCTTACACCCGTAACAGCCCTTGGCGATCCGTAGGGGTATTTTTCGTGTTCCCCGTACGGCCTTCCACCCGTAACAGCTCTTGGCGATCCGTAGGGGTATTTTTCGTGTTCCCCGTACGGCCTTCCACCCGTACCAACTAACCCTCAGGAACCCTTTCCTTTGGAGCTCCGGCTTTTTGGGCCGTAACTAAATTAACCTAGAGCTTGCCCTAACCTTAACCCTAAAATCCCTAAACCACCCCGAAGGGGAAAAATAATCATAATTTTAACCTACCCCTAACTTCTTATTTTTCGCGCTCTCTCTCTCTCGTTATGATTTTCATTTGGGGATACTAACGGGCATCCCCGATGCTCGTTACACCCCCCTCCTTTGATGGTCCGTATCCGGGTCTGCCTTCGTGATCTTCCTTTGGTCCAATCTGCCTCTCGTCCCGGTTCCGGGAATCTGCCTTACACCTAAACTCCACCAAACGTAAAGTCGGGGAAAAACACGAACCCACACCCTGAAGTAAGGGTCGGAATAAATGTACAATGTTTATCAAAACGTATTTGTATATTTGCCAGGTCGTCTGATCCGGAACTGCCTCTGAAAGGCAACTTAATTATAAAAAAAAAGAACATTGATTGCCCCCTGGGGCTTATGGCACATTTTGGTGCTTGTGGGGAGTTATCTCCCCGGACGGATTCTTCCGCATTATCACAAAAACTTATCCTATGTGGTTTGTACCGTGGGTGCATCCAGGTACTTGTGAGACTTAACACAATGAACAATAAAATAAACTTTGGTAATTGGCACCCTATCAAAGTACACGTATATCAAAATACAAAAAAAAGCACGTGGTATCGAAAAAAATGGTATAAGAAAAAAACTATCCTAACACGGAAGTGCGCCAAAAAAAAGAAGAGAACTGTGGAAATCCCACAAAAACAAACACAAAAAAAACTCGGTCGCCACTCTTGGCGACGAGTGGATAGCCGGGGTGTTCCACTCCGGATAGTCCTCCGCTTCACGGGGATGTGCCACCATTTTAACGGGGATGTTGCCGCCGATTGATCGGGGATGTTGCCGCCGTCTGAACGGGGATGTTGCCGCCGATTGATCGGGGATGCTGCCGCCAATTCTTCGGGGATGTTGCCGCCGTCTGAACGGGGATGTTGCCGCCGATTCATCGGGGATGTTGCCGCCGACTTATCGGGGATGGTACCTGCTCTCCGGACTCTGCTGCTGGCTGTGCTGGGCTTGGTCCAGGAGACACTGGAGGGCCTCGATGGTGTCTCGGGACCAGCGAGTTGCCTGACTTGTCGGAGGAGGTCCGAAGCGGGCGTTCGCTCCACGCCCAAGAGCTGGTCGGGTCGGTGCGCTAGCGGCCGCCGAGGTGTAGTACCCGTGCTCCGGGGCTCGGTAGCCAGGGCTGTAGCTGGTGGTCGTCGTGGCTGGCGGTTGCCAGAAGAAACGGAGTTCCGAATCTTCTGAAGGTTCTTCCTCCCGGCGAGGTCTGCGTTCCTCCTCCCGGGGGAACGGATAAGCCGGTCCAGCTGTGGCTGGACGGATGTGGCTCCTCTCGAATGGAGCCCAGTACTCCTCAGCGCGTCGATCCCGGATGCGTAGCGGCGATTGTGTGGCCGGCCGAGGGCGACGGCTGGATGCAGCCGAAGCAGGTGGCAGCGGTGGCCTCACCTGGGATTTCTCAGCTGGCGTGCTGGAAAGTCCGGCCGTTCATCCGCCAGCAGGCTGTGTTACCAGGCCGTGCCCCGGGCAGATCCTGTCAGCCCAGAGGCGATGTGGGCATTGCCCACAGAAGATGTCTCCCGTCGGGTTTGGGCAGGCCTGATGGGCGTGGCCGTGCCGACGACAGTCGAAACACCAGTGTCGTGGTCTGCGGCGTTTACCTCCGGCTGTTCCCCTGGGCTGTCCTCCTCCTCGCTTCGCTGTGGTGGTGTCGCGAGTATCCGTGGTGGTCTTCCTCATCTGCTGGCTGCTGGTGCTGACGGGGCCTTCCACGGCTTCCAAAGGAGCGGGTATGCCGACCTGCGTACAGGCGGATGTGGAGGCCTGAGCTGATGTGCTCGGACGAGTGGTCACGGCGGCAAAAGCACGTCCGGAAACCGAAGGGGTGACCTCCGGGAGCTTCTCGCCATCCTCATCTACTCTGAGGGGCGGATACGGTGGAGTTCTCTCGCCGGCCCGTGAGTCCGTGGGCGGCGGATGTTGCTCGGCCAGCTCAGTCTCGGGATGAGACAGAGCTGGAGGTGGTGACGCTGCTGTTGCTGTGGTGCTGGGCAGCGAGAGGTCCTCGAGTTGGCCGAAGTCGATGAACTCGGTGCTCATGCTCGGGACGCTAGATGCCGGTGGACTTGTCGGAGCCACCCTTCCGGGGGATGAAGTCCGGTCCTCATTCCGGCCTGGTGGACGACCGGGGCCTTCTGCTGTGGGCTCCGGAGTGTAGATGACAGAGTCCTCGGAGTCTGATGAGGAGCTGCTACAGCTGGATGATGTGGAGGTGCTGGAGCTCGAGGAGCTGGAGCCGATCTCCACAATCGGAGGTGCCGGCGGGGTCGGGGCCCGTTCGGAAGACTGATCCACGGGGGTATCCTCCGGGAGTTTTTCCTCACTCTGTCCCAGTGGGACTGCCGCTCACCAATCCCAGGAGAATGGGAGGGATGATGAACCTGACCGCCGACAAATGGTGAGCCGGTGTCAGCGTGCAGGTATGTAGGGCCGCGGCAAAGCCGGGATGTCTCTCCTCGATATTCCGTATCTCGGAGAGCCAGGGTCTCACTGGGTCCCAGTAATCCTGGAGGTAGATGGGATCCTCTATGGCCGGTTGGGACTGCGGTCCCTCTAGTCTCCCGGGTGGAGGCAGCCTTTCCAGCACGACGACTGGGAACAGGGGTCCTCGCGGTGGCGGGCCCTGGGTGACTTCGGTACCGCTGTCGTCGGGGAGAGCTAGGTCGTCCAGCTCCACCGGAATTCCTTCCGGGAAGAGCCCGCATGGAAAGATATATATGCGGAAAATATATGTGAAAATTGAAGCCAAATATATGTCAAATTTAAGTTGCATATAGTCGAGAGTAATTCCAATATAAGTAACATATATGCGAGAAATATTTATGAAATGTCATTTTTCGCCGATTCTGTATATAAAATAGTATAAGCAGTTTATATGTAATTTTATAAGAACTCTATTTTTTAATTATATGTAATTGAAATTATTCATATAATCAATAAATAAATTCAAATATATAAGATTTATATTAATGTACATATATAGTCTTTATAGATCCTAGATATTCGGCATATATCTTACACATATGATAAGTACAGTTTTAATATATATTGATCATTCACTTGGTAATTATATGCAGCTTATACTCAGTATATTATCAGCATCAATTCCACTTATATGACAATTATATGAAGATGTATATGTGTTCTTGGTAAGTTTTATATATGCCGCTTGTTTGTTGAATCTGTTTTAGATAGATTCTACATATATGTTGCATATATACTGACAAGCATATATTTCGAATATATCACCAATTATATTCCATTTTTTTGTCAAATTAATTAAATTTTTAGGTCTTAGATTAAAAAACATGGAAATGAAACAAAATATTCCAAAAAACCGTTGATTTATTTGCTTCAAGCAATAAGTTTCGTTTCAACTACAACAACTGTTTTCACCTCACATAATTATTTTTACCATTTGATAAACTTCATAAATCAAAACTAAAGTTGACCAGCATATTAATTAATATTTATCCTTATAATTACCATCGTCTTTTACTCTTCCTACACTATCATTGGTTTAGAAATTATTTTAATAGATGATCTCATATAATATATTTCAGAAGTGATGAACATTAACCTCAATAAACTCAGGAAAACGTAGAATGATCAAGATAATGCAAGTGCTTATTAGCACTATGATACTTTTTCATGTTGATAGTATTACTGTTCATAACTTGAAAGAATATGTGAGCGCTCAACACGTACTGATTAACGAAGTTATGAACATTAGGTGAACCCTGTAAGAGTATTTTTCCCGGGTCAACACCCCGGGATAATCCTCAAACTATTCTGGCTGCCGCCTCTATCGTTCACGATTGGGCGCCAGCCAGGTTTTTCTGGAAAACCTGACGGAAAACCAGCCGCGAAGAAATTTCGTCAACTCCGCGGACTTTCGGTGGCGGGTCTCACAATGCCCAGCCAGCATCAGCATGACACGGTAGAGTGGGCGAGGTTCACCAACGTACGAGTAGCTTCAATCACTAATTTTTTTGCCGTGCTCACGGCATCGTTAACGATATCTCTCGGGGAGCGTATCTCTCCGACTCTCGTGGAGGGATATG